GGAGTGGGGCTTTAACGGGATTCAACGTTCATATTATCTTTCGTGTTATCATTTAGAATGCATAAATTCATGAAGCTGGCATGACAACAGCTCACTTTAACAAAATCAGTTGTCAACTCATGAAAAAAATGCAGTCTTTGCCCCTTCATAAGTAATAAATAAAAAACCAGCATTTCGTGGGTTTGTAATGACTTTGATTTTGACCAAATTGATAAATACCCCTCAACCTTAAAGACACCAGTATGTTTGTCTCATTTCCCCAAACGGCTTAGCAAACGGGCTTCAGAAAATGCATACCACCCCTTTAATGAGGGAATTAGCCCAAAAAATTTACAATATCGCTGGGCCCTTGAGTTAAATGCATGAGGCTAATGTATTTGAAATATACTGGGGTCGAAAATACATTGGCTGACCCTCGGTATTAATTGTCATAGCAACAAGGGAGTTCACTAGCACACACGATTTGACTCTGAATCTTTCCGCTTAAATGTAGCAATAGCAACAGTTGCTTTAGGATCTATTTAAATTCAAATTAAAATAGAGATCCAGCAATTTAATTTTGACAATACCAACACAGTTCAAACACAGACTGTATTTCTCTGGCAGCTTGTAATAACTCGTAATGTGACCTCATCTGACACGCTTTAGTAGCTAAGCGACTTTTGCTAAGGCGATCTACGAACCTTGAATAAGTGCTACAGTGTGATTTGTACTTTTAGAATTGTAAATCGATGTAATTCCAGCACCAAATATGAGCGCATGTCTCTAGTGGTACAGAGACGTTGTTTAAAGCCACCAACCAGAAGAGATAATTAAATTACAGATTTGTCGAATATGAGATACCGGGTTACAATTTTGTTGTATAGAACTGAGTTTTATTTACCCCCTTCTTCAACTCATTGTTATGAGACTGCCCAAAGAATTATGTTTTTCGCAAAACTAAAAATTTCAATTAAGTGTCATTACTTGATAGTTGTCTATCTCTATTTTATATTTACGATGGAACAGTTATAGTCCTTTTCATATAAATAGGCATTCATAGTGGACATGTTGATTCTCAAGTGGATTCAGATGACTGCTAGTAATGTGAGTTTCGTCTGTTCAATCCAGTTGCGGCTGTTATTAACCGAATTTTGTTTACTTAACACTTCATCTATTATAGCTAAGATTCTCAACGATGCACTTTGGTTACCATCCACAATTCCAAACGGAAGTTTTTCTATTAGCCAAATTACAAGCATCAAAATCCCATCAAGATTTCCTCTGGCATAGCTGGAAAACTACGTTTAACGTACCTCAACAATTGTTTGATCTGGTAACCACATTTCGCCTAAAACTACCACTAGTTATGTCCACATGTATTTTCATATTATCTTCCAAACCACATCAATGGTGCAGGCACTTACGTCACTGATTTTATCTACCTCTTTCGAGGTACTTTGCAGTTCCATTTAGATTCTCTGGTATATCTAAGTGAATATTACCGAACCATTCCGTTTAGTTAATTCATTCATTGCTTTTTGAGTTCACTTTGACGGGGTTTTGTTTACATCCACCTTGTTAAATCGTCGTACCTAGCCAAGAATGCCTGAACGATTAGTGATACATTTCCATCCGCCAGATCTCTAATCACATTTTCATAGCTTCTCCTTAAACTAACTGTTTACTTAGCACTAGATAATAATACAGTTCCATTCCCATTGTCCAGATACGCTATTCGAGCCGTCAATTGAATGTCAACGAGCTCTTGAGGTACGGAAATAATAAGGAAGATTGTTACAAATAGTTCTTCCAAACATTTTACAGATTATAAGTAAGATGAAAGTCAACCTGTGGCGGATTCTATGCCCACCTTGAAGTTAAATATTCCAAAAGGTCGAAGTGAACGTTTAGTAGGCCTGAGGTCATGAGATCGTGTTATAACCTGGTTAGCTTTTCAATCCCAGAACTCAATAAAAACACGTAAATGCCTTAAAGGTAGGCCTTGCTTTAAAGTTATGAAAAGCAACGTCACTGCTATTGAGCATATTTAACAGAAATATGCTATTTTTATAAATAATATACAATAAATTGTTAATTTATATGCTCTTGGATAATTTGTTGACTTTATAGGACAGGTGAAAATAAAGTGATGTGGCTGAACAAGCGCACCTTTAATTCGATAATCGAAAAGACCACCACCAGGAAACACATGCTTTTCTCAATATCGATTTCCTAGTCCACTGAATGGGCTTTTCTTGATGGACTTTGGAGACTCCTTGTGCATTTATTAAAAGTGGCCCATGATAAACGCGCAGCGTCGTGCATAAGCTCTAAACCATTATTTAAGTTCTTGGTAAGTGCAAAATTTGCCACCAACTCGCGATTACCTTAATTTTGAAAGTACTTTTTGTGTCTTACTCAACTGTGGAACATCAAAGTCTCAAAAGTAGAGTGGGGGGGGGGAATAGAAGAATGATTTACAGGTGTAAGAGAGACACGCAAAAGGTAGAGAAAAAGGTAAGGTGAGTTGAGTACTGTGGAAGTGGTTGAACATGACATACAAAGGGATCATGGTAGTTTGAAGTCAAGTGCTGATTTACAGGCCTTTTTGCCGTAGGAGTAAACGTTTGTCAGGGTGCACCATGTGAGGGTAGTGTGCATAATTTGAATTTTCGACAAATCCAGTTTCCCACATTTAACAGAATGGTTTATGCGTACTGCCTATTGCGCAACTTCAAATTCGAGGCTTGATTGTCATACTCCTTAATAAGATTACGTACGCGTGGATCCGAACTTGTTGATCAAATTGTGTGTTTGCTCATGCCGTTTTCCCCAATAAGCAGGCGTTACAAGTTGGTGCAAATATTAGATACATTTGACACGTTGCAGAGCTCAGTTGGTGTCAATAACGACGGAACTACCAGGCTGAAGTTTATATTTGCTCTACTTAAGTAACTAATTTTGGCCTAATGTGATCATGGATTTACAGGTTTGGTTCAGTCAGAGTTACAGGTTGGAATAAGTGGCATTATTAGCTTCTTAATAACAAATTACGCAATTTCCTGGATTTTTTCGATAAAATTTAGTTGAGCATTAACGATATAACACCTTAATTACCACAAGGTTTGAGTAATCTTTCAAGACAATAAATCATCACCTAATTCCACCACCATCAGCTAGAAATCTGGGGAGCGGGGGGGGGGGAATAAAAAGTAATTAGAGTGGTGTTGGACAAAGATAGAATTGAAAAATGTCAATTCTTCCACCTTGAAGTGAAAAAAATGTCCCAGGTAAGGTAATTTATTATTAATCAACAGGACGGCACAGTACATTATAAGATTAAAGTTTTTAAAAGTTTAAAGCGTGAATGGAAATATATGTTGTCATACAATTTCACAACATTAATTCTCACAGTCGTTTTATAACAAAGAAGACTCTTTCGGCAGATTATCCAAAAGTGATTTTCATTTCACTTTTTGTTAGATCTATCGGTGCATCGATTGTTCACGAGTGAAAAGTAGAGGACCGAATTGTATAAGAAAAAAGAAAAGCGTAGTTAGTAAGGATTTGGCTTTAATACAAAAAATATTAACAGATAACGTGATAGAAAGCTAATAGTAATCAGTAAGTAGTAAGTAGGTGAATGAATAGAAGAAAGACTAAATTTTACTATGAATTCCCCTCCAATTTGGTCCAAATGTAAAATGGATCAGCGGATATAATGAAATATTCTACACATGCATATCTTTCATTTAAACTTGAAGACTTATAGTACGAAGCTCTCGACTTCCAATCTTTCACAAATATCGATTAAAGAAATGCTTCAAATGTAAGAATTGAAGAGGCTTCGAGTTCTATATTAGCGATGGGTGGAGTGCGATAGACTTATCTCAACGTATACTCATACGACAAAATGTCTATTAACCGGCAGTTGACTTCTAACTTTAAACTCTTATGATCTACTGTATGTCATATTCCACCACTCACAGTACTCACCTTACCCTATTCTTTACCTTTTTGTCTGTCTCTTACACATCTGTGAATACCCCTTCTGTTCCCCCCTCCCCTCCCCCTCTACTTTTCATGACTTTGGTGTTCCTTCCCCTCTGTGAAGCCCGAAATCAGCGTAAGGGTTAATGATAACTATCATAATGACTATCATTTGTTGTAAATGTTGGCGTTAGCAAAGGAGTTAGAGCAATGGTTATCTCAGTATTGCTAATATTAAAATGGGGCAGTTGCTAGCAAAGATCATCTGGTATCTTCCTCCCTGAATGAAAGATCATAATCTGAATCTCGATAAATTCTCAAAGGCCCAAAATATCTACAAAATAGATTTATCTAGAGTAAATATAAGGACTTTATAAGTGGAAATCGTAGAAACAAATAAGTTCCTTTTCAATGTAAAAAGTGTGAAGAAATAAATACAAATCAAAGGTTTCTTTCATTAAGTAAGAAAGTATTTAATAATTGACATCATTTAATTTTCTACGTGATTGGAAATGATATAAAAGAGTGTATTTCTACCTTTAATAAGTTATAATTTATCTCAAATTCTTGAATGCAAATCGTTGGAGTTCGTAAAAAAATAGCGAAATTTCGAAACCTTAAATTTACTTTTAATGATCTTCAATTGATTTTGTGATAAGAATTACATCACATTATTATAGTTAAGTATGCTGCTACGGATCTCATAAATCATGACTCCCTCCCACTCAAAGTCCTGAAAGTCGTGATCACTGCCACCAGCGGCTCTGCTGTTGCACACGCTGCATTAGTGAGTACTAGAGTCGCCAACGCTCGCACAAAGTTACATCACAACTTACTCAAACCCCCTTAGAAACAGGCGCACAGTTCACACAGTAGCTTATTACTCTTTCTGTGCTCGTGTTAACCAATCAGTGATCTGAGAGAGTCTGCTGGCAGCACCATTTTCGTTAGCACTAATAAGTTAAAAGTCTGAAAGTTGATTTTAAGAACAGCATTCTTCTAAACTTCATTGTAGCAAACGCATCGTCATGATAGATCTTTCTGCTCTCACAATACCACTTAGTTGCCTCTCAATTGGCCTTTGTATCACCAGTCTGGTTATGCCCTATTGGAATTGTGGAGGCTTCTTTACCACTTGTGTCTTCACGTTGATCCACGTGATTATTATGGGTCTCATTTTGGGAGGCATTGTCATCTTTGGAATAGTTTTCCTTCTTGATTTATGCAAGGCATGTCGAAATTCTTGGATTCCTGGACCAGTGTGCAACACGTGCAAAATTCTCCTTTCGGCAATCGGTGCAGGTGCTTTATTGAGTGGAAATTTGCTCTACGCGGTGATGTATATCCAATCTTGGTCCTACGTCATGTCCTTTGCCGGATCTATTATCGCTACTCATGTCGTTCTGATATCCATTTTTACAAGCCGGTGCTTACAAGGATACTAGGAGGATTATATACGGTGCTTTCATGTGTATAATAGGTGTATTTTATTCATTTTCTATGCATATTTATATTCAATAATTACGTATTTAACTTATTTTGGACTTATCTGGCTTATAACCCTTTCAAGTAACTTACACCGGCCATCATATGACGATAGATTAGTGCCCTATTCCTTCTAAACACACTTATTAAACTACTAACGTTTTTTATTTCACTTAATGTGTCTTAAAATGCGAAGTTCCTTTTTCCCTTGTTTAGCAAAGTGAATGTCATAGTGATTTCCTCTATAGCAGGTGAAAAATTGAGACCAAGATGTTATATTTGAATATTCAAATTAGATCAATAGTTCATTTGAGGATGAAATAGGGGGGAGGGAGGAGTGAATAATGAAGTCAGAATGTCAAGAGTTTAATCTCATATTGATTTCTGAAATCACCGAATTTTCATCTTCCCTAACGAGGTATAATTCATTTCACAATTGGCAGGTTCTTTTCAATAACATTTTTGGCAGAAATTAACTAAATAGTGTGTTGAGTAGCAAAAAAATAACTTATTTCTCTTTGTCATATAGCCATGAGCAGTTAGGTGGGAATGGCAAAGGCTTTTTCAGCTTAACAAAGTTTAGTAGATTTTGTGCAAGTTGAAGTAAACAGCTTCACATAGTGAATGAGTTATTATACAATGAGTCATGTTGAAATCGTGCTTACCTATAGGATAAAGAGTCTTATCGTAATTTGATTACTATCCTTATTTTGATCTGCATTTACTTTGTCATCTTTACCAATTAGATTCTCCTTCGCATATTCGAACAAATGTTCAAAGTTGTTAGATCCTAATTCCTCATTCATAGCTATTCTTAACTCAGTGAAATTTAATTAACATGATGTGAATAATTGTTGTTTCAATACCTCATACATTTCCAATACTTTAGTTAACGTTTTAATATATGACTTTTGAAATTCAGAAGTTAGATTTTTAATACTTTATATATTCTGAGGACCAGATTTGGAGATTTATGGATAGTAACTTGATGCTACTTGTGGACCTTAATCTAATAACATTGTGGATAAGAACCTCATTAAAGAGATACGTTAGAACAACGTCGTTGCTTAAACCATTAGAATCAGGCAAGTAACCTGCGCTATATTCTTTGCTGGATGATCTACACCAAAGGTTCAGAAAATAGAAAGATACATACGTATATGTCTTATTTTGAAAAATAAGATCCTGTTAAAGATAGCTTGAAACAGAGCTCATACACTTTTCTACTGAGAGAGGGGGGGGGTGGAGAGATGTAAGATAAGTATGTGGAGTTAAGACTTGAAACCGCCGTTTCTATGCAGGGTCAACTAGATTGCTACCCGAAAAGCCTCGTAATGAATAATGAGTGCGTTCGATGTTCGAGACAAGTTACGAAATAAACGGGAGGTTAGTTTTAGGGGAATTCATTCGTATTTCATAAACCCTCACTTCACGATTCAATTAACACTTGCTTAAATCGATTAATTTCAATGGACGGGGTATTTACGTTTCTCTAACTTTTGTTTGTATGGGTTAACGAAATGGTTTTCTTTGATCACTAAGATTTCATTCAAGGGTAACTTTTAGAGCTTGTTTTCAAAACCATCATATTTTTTTATAAGTTGCTTTTTATTTTTCAATATTAAGATAATGGCAATGCAAGGAATACCCCTGTCATTTAAAATCATCACACAGCTTCAGTAATCGTGAAATCTGTTCCATTTTTCACATAACTTTATAAAATATTTTTATTTATTTATTTCAAATGGCAGGCGTTTTGATAGTTATCATTAGCCCTTTAGCTGACTTCGGGCTCCATAGAGAGGAGAAGGAACATATCACGCACCCCACTTTATAAAATATTATAATTGAAATTAAAGAACAGGGTTATAGTTAACGTCCCTTTTAACTTCTTCTATTTTTTCAAGAAACTTTGCCTCGGTTCCATCACCTCCTAATTACCATAAAAAAGGTTACACTGGAATAATATTTTCGCCAGAAAGAA